TACTTGTTGGTCTTTGTCTCTTCTTTATCTTTCTCTTCTTCAATATTTTCTAACTATTTCTTCCTAGTGTGACGGCCTTCTGTTCATGTAATTCAATCCAGATTTCATTATTAATCACCTGATTCATCTCTGCAGCTTGGCTCTCAACCAACCTGACAGTGCAATTCATGATATTACTACAGTGAGAAAGCTGAATAAAAAATAAAACCTTGGTTTGGGTGAGTCAGTGGTGGGTTGATCTCTCAAACACCCACCCACAAACTCACACAGTACTAGAGCTTGGAAGGCCAACCAAATATCATATGCAAGCCAATCCTCTCTTTTTCCTCCTTGGAAGATAGGCCACACCTGCTGCCACCCTCCCCCAACCCTGTCTTCAAATCTTCCAAGGCTACTGTGTCAAGTATTTTGCCTTTGCGTTTTCTTAAATGACATAGAGGAAACCCCTCTGCCTGCAGCTGGCATCTTGTCACCATAACATATGGCTGTACATTATGGTGACAAGGCGGACTTACAGCCCTCAGCACAACGGTCAGTACAGGATCACAACATGCTTTACATAATAAAACTTCTTTCTCAACTTGGCTATTCCTCAAAGCACTGTGATTGCATCATAGCCAAGGGCCTTTTTTATATTGGTGGAATTTTTGATATGCTTTCAAAATGAAATCAAGCCAAGTTGCAACCAATTTAAGAAAGATTTGTTGTTGAATTGCAGAGGATATCAACTGAACTTATGCCCAAGTTCACCAAACATCAGGCTACCCTTGTGCGCAACTTACAACCAACATACAACAGGTATCAGCTCAGTATATGACCAAGTTAACAGAAATCACTTGCATGAAAGTGCCATGGAAACAACCCTGGTGTTTGCTCTTTTTCCTGTCTTGTCTCACCTAACTGAAAAATGCACTTGAGTTTTGTCTGAAAATCAAACATTTTTGGCACAAACTAATTTCATCATTCATCTTCAAAGATCTGTTGGAATTCCCCTTCCAAATTCTTTGTTTTCTCCACTGAAAAAAACACTTGCTCAAATGCCTGCAGTTTACATGCAGAAGCTCCCAGGAAGCTTCTGTTCTTACTCCAACCTTTCTCCAAGAGTGATTCAACTAAGCTTTGATGCACAGTGACTGTGCATACTGCACAGTGACTGTGCCAAAACATCTAAATATGCAAACAGGTGGAGTTTGGATGGCAGCTTGGCTGGAGCATGCTGCATGTCAACTGCAGGCAGTTGGGCAAGTTTTTTTTTGCAGTGCTCTTCTCATGTTGTGACATTCTTTTGTTTCTTCCATTTCACGTGTCCCTTTTCTTCTTTGTTTTCCTCCTCTATTTTATTTGTTTATGATCCCAAAACCTCAACCTCACTATAACTCACTCAATCAGTCAATCTCACTCACACCTCAGATTACTATCACACCTTGACTCTCTTCCGTCTACTGTTTCTTTCTCAAATACCTTTTCTTCTGACTGTTGAGAAATCATCATCAATTTTAACTCAACTCTTCCCACTGTCTCTTCCTTCAGTCTGTTTTGTCATCACTTCCATCTCAGCTCTCCATCCTGTCTCATCACTTCCATCTCAGCTCTCCATCCTGTCTTCAGCTTCTTTATTCATCCAAAACTATCCATGTCAACTGTTGGTTGTTTCTTTGTCTCACTCTCAACTTTCTCTCTTTGATTATTCTTTTCTGATATCTTCTGCTTAGCATGCCAGCTCCTGTTAGAGTATTCAAAGTATTCAAATCTCAGATCCTTTAAGATCAAGGTCAAACAGCAATAATATGTTAGTCAATCATTGATCACACTCTTGTAGACCTCAAGTGGATCATTCCCTGCTCTTCAAACATGTGGAAAATCATGTTACATCATCTTCAATCAATCACTCTTTTATACTTTGAACCTGGCTGTGTTTTCCTTCAAATCAATCATACCTTTTCCCCTTTCACATGCACTTTATATCTTCTATATTCATAAACATCTCTCTTTCCCATTTCTTTCTTTTTTCATTTGTTAATTAATACCTAGGGTATTCATAATTGGGACATAAAATCATAATCACTTTCACATAATTTGTTTTTGCAAGGACTTGACAAAATGCATAAACCTTTATTGACAATTCCCTGCCAAAAGATCACATTATGATGTTAAGTATGTCATTTTTTGATTTTATGTTTCAATTTTGAATACCCTAACCATATATTCTTGCATTTTAAACCTTGAGAGCCAAATATCTTGTGCCTTATTAAGCCTCTACTTTGAGCAGAGCTAACTTATATTTGTCATGCATGATTGATCTTGATGAACATACCTTCAACAAACTACATGTGCATAAATAAAAACCAATCATGCACCATTTTCCAACAAATTTGATTACTGTTATATCCTACACTTCTGAAAGTGGAGGAAAAAGATTGAAATCTCCAACATAATTGATTTACAAGAATGAATACTCTAGCTTCTTGACCCTCAACAAAGTATGCATACATTTTTTTTCCTGGAAGAAGAAGCCCACAGCTTTCACATTACAAAACCAATCCCCTTTTCTACAATTTTTCTTTTTAGTAAAAACCA